GGATAAAAATGTCAAAAATTGACAATCTTGTAATGACTTAAAAAAAGTGACATTTTTGTAAATTTATAGCCAAAAATTGACATATGGTGCAATTTCCTCAAAAAAAATAAAATGTAAAGAGAGATGTTAGAATAATTCTTGATATGTACCAAATTTTATGTACATTTGAAATTTTCGGAGAAGTTATGTGTAGACACCCTAGTGTACAGCTCCCTCACAATCGGGGGGCTAGCGCTTTTTTTATTGGGCGCGAGCCCCATTATTGTGAGGGAGTTGTACACTGTTGGCGATGCTGGCTAAGTATAAGTGTGGGTGAAAGGGTTGTTGTATATCGAATAAACAAAAAGAAAAGTTTAATCCGCATGAACGTGATTAAACTATATAATAAGGATTAAAAATATAGTATGTAAACTACAAACGAAAAACCAAAAAACAAGAAGTAAAGAAGAAGAAGAAGAAGAAGAACAACAACAACAACAACAACAATTCGAGGCAAGTGATTTTCACTTTTTTTTAAGACAAAATTGTCCCACAACAGTGCTCACGGTTCACGGTACTTATCTCCCAAGATACAACGATTCAATTTGTGGTAGAAGCACTTCAAACCACAAGTTACGACGAACTTTAGACGGAATTTCTCTCTACAAAGATAAAAACGGTTTGAATGAATTTGAAAGTGATTTGCAAGAATTTTTATGCAATGCTCAATGCAAATATGATATGGGATGCAAAAGGGACGTCCAAGGGGTCTTATATATAGAGCATGAGAGGTTATGAATGAAATGTCGAGAGCCAAACTCAACAAATTTTGCCTAAGGTCGCACCATTCACCTTTGCTAGCCTATCGTCATCGCCTTGCTCGAGCGATAAAAATAGTGACTTTTTTGTTAGTTTGAATTGCAATTTTTCATTCATTCGAATTGGTTTTGAGATTCTAAACATACCACGACGATCTACTCGATGAGTTGAATAAGTTGGTCTATTTACTTTTATAATTTGACCATCAAATCAAGTTCGAATATTTGGTTGAAGTTGACACGAAAATCACTTTTTTCAAGTTTTGGTATTATAACTTAATTCTTTCAAACCAATATCCAACAAATAATATCACCACACTAGAGTTGTCATTGAACAACACTTCTTAAAAGAGTTGACCNTCGAATTTGACACGAAAGTCACTTTTTCAAAGTTTTGGTTTTATCACTTAACCAAATTTCAATATTTCAAAACCAAATTCCAACATACACCAGGGTGTACAAATAGCAAAATTCAAATGTCCAATGGTCAAAAGTTGAACCAATAATTAAAATAAGGGTACTTGGCGCAAAACGTCCCTACCTTTGAAGGTTTTTGTGGAAAATGTTCTTACCTTTCGTTTTTTGGCACAAAACGTCTCTACCTTTCACATTCTTTGTGCTGAACGTCCTTTTCACCCATTTTAATATAAAATGATCAATATACCCTCCTATATAAATAAAACAAAAAAAACTGCAATCAGCTCCTAAACTTTTTAAAAAATGCAAATTAGTCCAAAACTTATGAAAATATTAAAAATAACAAAAACACACTCTCTTCTCCTCCACCTCCACACGTATGATAACCACGTCTACTCTTCTCCACCGCCACAACCTCCGGACATTGGTACCAATACAATCTCCTCAACATCCTCTAAAATTCTATCCTAAGAATTCCCCATATCATCCAATAATCCGGCAGAAATCAGCAAGCAAAATCAGCTACTCGAAAAATGGACAAATTGCTGGAAGTCGCACCTCTGGCCAGCAACAGGATCGCGGATCACCACCATCCGCTTGCCCACACGCAGACAACCTCAGCTATGTGGGCAATTCATCCAAAACACTTATACAACAGGTTCAATTTGAAACTGAAAATAACGCAGTCGCGACTATCGCGCCACGCACTGAACTTAGCTGATTCCGACG